TAGATTCTTATTGCATATTTTTTGTATTCAAAAAGATATTGACCTAGGCAATAATGGGGCAGTTTGTAGTGTGTCAGGTGATTGGGAAAACATGTGTGATCATTACCACTTGTAACTTAACACTCAAGTTACTTAAGTGTTACTTAAATTACTTAAGGGGTAATTTACCCCTTACCTGGGTGCTTGTCTTGTGCAGACCTGTGCAGCTTGACGCGCGGGAAACCACCAACATCGCCTTTTGTTCTCAATCCATTCACAGTTCATTCATTTATTATGTGCCCCATACCCATCCCGTGGGCGGTGCCGTGGTGCCGGATGCTATGCTGGCGCCGGACGCGACGCCTGGGATCGAACCCAGGACCACAGGATCACAAATCCAGTGTGCTATCCGCTCCCTCGACCGGCTCCCTCGACCTCGACTAGGGTTAGTTTGACTGCTGTGGGCACTATAGTGTCAGACCACGTGGTGTTCTTGCCCAAGCCACTTCTCTTAATTGCTGTCATAAGCTGGTGTTATCTGGCTTTGGAAATCCGGTTCGCTTGGCGCGTTATCTTTCTCAGTTTCTCCCGGCAGTTGTGAAGCTTAATTTAAATAAGATCTTTGTTACCTCGTTCTCTAACTGTAGCGTACTGGTCCTTTTGCTTATATTTTCTGGTAGGATCAAGTCTAGATTATTGTTTTGTCATTATATTATCACGCCCCCGGCCTGTCCTCAGGTTAGGGTCGTCTAGGGACCCCCTAGGGTCGTCTAGGGGGCCCTTAGCGTCGTCTAGGGGGCCCTAGGGTCGTCTAGGGGGCCCTTAGGGTCGTCTAGGGCCCCTAGGGTCGTCTAGGGGGGCCCTAGGGTCGTCTAGGGGGCCCTAGGGTCGTCTAGGGGGGCCCTTAGGGTCGTCTAGGGCCCCTAGGGTCGTCTAGGGCCCCTAGGGTCGTCTAGGGCCCCTAGGGTCGTCTAGGGGGCCCTTAGGGTCGTCTATGAACCCCCTTGGGTCGTCTATGGACCCCCTTGGATCGTCTAGGGGGCCCTTAGGGTCGTCTAGGGGGCCGTTAGGGTCGTCTAGGGACCCCCTAGGGTCGTCTAGGGGCCCCTAGGCGGCGGCAGACCTCAACGATGCACTCGTCAGTTTTAACGTACTGCGTATTTCAAAATAGTTCTTTTTTTCTCTCGAATATAAGGTAATATTTTATACTGAAATATACTGAATAGTCAATCTGTTCCCTAGGATACTACATCGAATTTTGACGTATAAATTCCCAACGTTAAAATTTGATGTACATTTAAAATACGATGGATCATAGCGGCTCATGGACGGTAGAGCGGCGGTCTCGCTTCATGCAGGTCAGCGTTCAATCCCCGACCGTCCAAGTGGTTGGGCACCATTCCTTCCCTCCCCCCGTCCCATCCCAAATCCTTATCCTGAACCCCTTTCGTAATGGATTGGCGCTTTCCCCTGATAGTTCCCTCACCTCGCTAAGTTAACTAGATGTCACGTGTTCTAGTCGTGGATCGTCGGTTAGGTTAGGTTCGTGTAATTTAATACATCATTTTTGTGACGTGACGACTGGAGAGGACGGGGTGGGATAGTTAAGTGTTTCTTCAGTAAGGTTAAGTGGTTAGCTTCTGTTGTTAATCCAACCCGTCCTCGACTTAAGTCCATTACATCCAGTGGTCGACCCCACAGACGCGTTCATAAATTTGTACATGCTGTTCATTGAAAACGGGATTGTTCTCAAATATAAATGAATACTATAATATATTAGCATATTGTGCATATATAGGCATAGGTTAGGTTAGGTGTTTGGGTTCCGTTGGCGATTATTTGTATTTGTGGTACGTGGGTGATGCATTTACAGCGTTGTGGTTCCAACAGAATTCGTCAGTGAAGCACTTGTTCCGGAAGTGTTCGAACGTCATCAGTTGTGAGTTGTGTGTAAACCGCTTTTCATTCATAAACAGCGGGTTTGGCGGGTGGATGGAATCACTTCTGGGTCTTTGTTTGGAGGACGAGGCATTTAGCAGCCCGTCCTCCAAACAAAGATCCAAAAGTGATTCCATGCACCCGCCAAACCCCCTGTTTATGAATGAAAAGCGGTTTACACACGACTCACAACTGCTGACGTTCGAACATATCCGAAACATATGTTTCACTGACGAATTTTGTTCGAATCACAACGCTATAAATGCTTCACCCACGTACTACAAATACAAATAATCGCCAACAGAACCTAAACACCTAACCTATCCTATGCCTATATATACACAATATGCTAATATATTATAATATTAATTTATACTTGAGAAAATTCCCGTTTTGAATGAACAGTATGTTAAAATTTATGAATGCGTCTGTGGGGTTGACCGCTGGATGTAATGGACTTGAGTCGAGGACGGGTTGCAGCTAGAGAGGTGTGTTTCGAGCAGAGGACGTGAGCGAAGCACTGCTCGAGAAGAGTGTGTCTACACTTCGTCATGAGTTGTAGCGTGGTGTGTAAAGTGTTTCTCAGTCGTAAACACAGACGTTGGTGGCTGGATGAGCATTTGGCCTCTGTTGATGAGGACGGGTTAATATATTAGTGGAAATGTCTGTTCGTAGTTCGAGGCCAGCAGGGGAAAGGGGATAGGGGGAGAATGGGTAGAAGGGGGATGGGAGAGGGGGAGGAAGAGTGGGGGGGGGAGAAAAAGGGCAGAATGGGAGGTGTGTCCCGGGCACTGCCGGGTACCTCTCCACTAAATGCTGCTCTTATGTGCTGACAAGTACGTAAGCACAGCGGTCCGGTCACAACTAAATGGTCCCGGCTTCCATTCCCGGGACCCTCTCCTCTACCCCAACCAGGCACACACACATGGCCAGTTTCCTTTCACCTGCTGCTACTGTTCACCCAGCAGTAAATAGGTGCCCCGGGAGATACACAAATGTTGGGAGTTGTATTCTGGAGATAGTCAGCATAGTTAGCCGAGATTGCCTTCCTGTCCGCCACATTGGGAAGCCCACACACACACACACACATATATATATATATATATATATATATATATATATATATATATATATATATATGTGCTGGCTAGGGTTCGAAGGCTAGCTTCTGTGCTGGCTAGGGTTCGAGTCTCCTGGTGGGAAAGTGTTCTAAAGTATATATATATATATATATATATATATATATATATATATATATATATATATATATATATATATATAATACACCGCTATGTGTACGTTTACACATGTGCATATTAGTGTGCGTGTTGTAATTACTAGTGCTCATGTACGTTATAGACTTGTGTGTACGTACCGACTCATGTATATATTATTGGATGTACTCGTCTAGTTGTGTACATCATTATACTTTCATGAAAAGATTATGTAGTGACGAGCAGATCTGGGCCTATAGGCCTGTATATTTCGCTACACAACAGTGGTTGTATGAGCATACATAATTGAATCGGCAATTTGTATATTGACGTCCATTTTGCATACACATCAGTGCTTGTATAGGCCTTCCTAATTGTATACACAAGATTGCTGGCATAGGCCAACATTATATTATTTTTACACTATACATCATTACACACACACACACACACACACACACACACACACACACACACACACACACACACACACACACACACACACACACACACACACACACACACTCCATACACAGTTTCAAGTGTAGATATGATAGAGCCCAGTAGGCTCAGGAACCTGTACACCTGTTGATTGACGGTTGAGAGGCGACACCAAAGAGCTAAAGCTCAACCCCCGCAAGCACAATTAGGTGAGTACACCCACCCACACACTCGCCCACCAGCAGTGATTGTACGGAAGGCTCATTGCTCGTTTTAGCACCATACAATCATTAAACAATTTCCTCTACAATAATTTCCACTTTTTTCATAGCAATGTTGGCATCAGGACCATGTTTGGTCTCAAGTTTGTTTGATGTTTATTACTACCCTTGTTGATGATGTTGGTGTACACTTGTTGATGTTGGTGTACGTTTGTTGATGATGTTGGTGTACACTTGTTGATGTTGGTGTACGTTTGTTGATGATGTTGGTGTAGCCGTATTATAGAGTAGTACACTAGGATGTACAATGATGTACTGACTCAGGTGCACCTAAACACTTTGTTGAAAGCATAAAGCACTCTCTTTTCTGAGGTCACGTTTATCTCAGCGGTAATGGGTACAATATTGAGCACTCACGTGAGTCAGCACAGTGTGAAGCTAAAATACAGTATACACATATTAACAGCTAATTAACCACTGTATCATGTTCTAAGTAATAAAATTGCTATTTGCAAGGCACTGAGTATTGTATAACCGAGATATATCAACATATAACACTGGCAAGTGAGAGTATAAACGTTTCCCTCACGAGAGGAGAGAACACTCCCCTTAGGGTCAGTGTAAGTATTGTTCCAGGACAACACCGGATCACCAGACCTCATAGTACCCTCTCTGGATAGCTGGATGAACAACCAATTTGGTGCAGGCGATGAGTCACAATAACGTGGCTGAAGAATGTTGACCAGACCACACACTAGAAGGTGAAGGGACGACGACGACGTTTCGGTCCGTCCTGGACCATTCTCAAGTCGATTGTGGTGTACATTTCGACTTGAGAATGTGGACAATCGACTTGAGAATGGTCCAAGACGGACCGAAACGTCGTCGTCCTTTCACCTTCTAGTGTGTGGTCTGGTTATCTTGAGGTTATCTTGAGATGATTTCGGGGCTTTAGTGTCCCCGCGGCCCGGTCCTCGACCAGGCCTCTACCCCCAGGAAACAGCCCGTGATAGCTGACTAACACCCAGGTACCTATTTTACTGCTAGGTAACAGGGGCATAGGGTGAAACAGGCAGGGGCAGGGGCAGGGGCAGTGGTCAACCAATTTGGTGTTTAGTGTAGAGGTGAAGCATATCTGGGTGTAGGGGCTAACACCAGTGGGTCAATACCAATATTAATAGCAGTAAGAGGCAGAGGGGAGACTGACCATGGGCCGAGGGCTCTCTAGGAGACAGTGCTCTTGAGTGTTGTGGCTGCAGTAGGGAAGAATGTCCGAGTTGAGGGCCTCAGGTGCCAGGCTGGTGGATTCCGTCCACACCCACTCGGTGGTGCCAAGTGCCTCCTCCGTGTGGGCACTCACTATACCCACCATAGAGAGGCACACCACCACCACACGCCTCAGGCTGGGCGCTGGTGTCATACTGCTGGAGGTGGGGCTGGGGTCACACCTTCACAGGTCTGCCATCCGTCCTCCACACGTCCTCAACACATCAACACACTCACACACACACACTCACACTTTCAGTTTGTGTTTCTGATGTGTTGATGGGATTAAAAGGGTTATAAACGCACGCTCAGGGGGTCACGGTAATTATATGATAGGAACAGTTATGAAATCTTTGAGTTTCCCCTCTAGAGAGAGAGACACCTGTCTCTATGACGTGCCGCTAACATGGGGTACTGTTGAAGACTCTGTTACTGGTCACGGTACGTCACTCTGTTACTAGTCAGGGTACGTCACTCCTGTATTGCACTTCGTTACTTCCTGTCACTATAGATTCCAACGACGTTCGTTGCGACAGTTGCACTGAAATCCTGGGGTTGGGCGCGCGTTGGTGCTGGGGGCGGGTGCCTCCTGACACAGCCTGGTGACAGACTGAGGGCCACACCGCTATAGTTGCGGCTGACCCGCCTCCCCGAGCGTGGGACGGACGCCCTACTGACGTGCTTCACGCTGACTCATCTCCTGAACGCTTCTCAGAACCCCTCCTGTCCTCCCCCTCTCTCTCCCCCCCCCCCTCCTGACTATCCGTCCTGGCCCTAACCTCTGCAGCGCCTTCACCTTACCCTCTCCCAGACGTGGGTGATGACTGGCTGCCCCAGGGGCTCGACGCCTCCCTCGCCACCACCACCTGTTCGAACCCCCTCGCTCTTCCTCCCGCCCGGGGCTCTTCTCGCCATAACCAACGTGACGCCACGTGAAAACAAATGAAGGAATCTGTAACTCTGTCGTGTTCAACAGAGTTCTGAATCTGTCGTAACTCTGTCGGAAAGGGTTACAGAGGCACATAATGGGCTCAGGGACTGAACCCCACAGTCGTTCAGGGGTTCAGTCCCTGACCCCATTATGTGCCTCTGTAACCCTTTCTACTACCGCCCACAAGACGGGTATGGGGTGCATAATAAATGAACTAAACTAACTGTCGTGTTGAAAATATCTGTAAATATTTCATTCACCAAGAAGTACTACCAGAAAGCTGACCCATGAATCCCCATTTGACCTTCTGTAGGTTGTGGTGTACATTGTCTTCCCAGCTTGGCGCCTTTGATGATTACTTAGTGAAGGTTGAGCCAGCATGTCACTCTAACCTTTCCATCGGTCACCCGCTGGCTGGCTGTGGCATGCAGTGTATGCAAATTGACATTAAACGTAACTGGCTCACTGGTGAGCTTGAAGCTTGAAGATCACTGGAGTCCAACATTGTAACCCCTGATGCCTTAGACCTTCCTGCCACTCACCCACAGGCTGGTGGTGGGGACCGCGATACACTAATTTAACTAGATCACTCTGCCCTGGCGTCTTGTGGTCGCGTGGATGTCACTCCGATGACGACTGTGAAGGGAGATGATGTGTGTGTTAAACTATGTACTGAGCTCACCGATGGTGGAGTACATAGCCCAGTGTGGAGGACACCACTGGTTGTCCTGGTGTGGAGACTTGTACTGGAGTAGGCAGTGGCAGTGTGGAGGACACCACTGGTTGTCCTGGTGTGGAGACTTGTACTGGAGTGGGTAGTGGCAGTGTGGAGGACAACACTGGTTGTCCTGGTGTGGAGACTTGTACTGGAGTGGGTAGTGGCAGTGTGGAGGACAACACTGGTTGTCCTGGTGTGGAGACTTGTACTGGAGTAGGTAGTGGCAGTGTGGAGGACAACACTGGTTGTCCTGGTGTGGAGACTTGTACTGGAGTAGGTAGTGGCAGTGTGGAGGACAACACTGGTTGTCCTGGTGTGGAGACTTGTACTGGAGTAGGTAGTGGCAGTGTGGAGGAAGTCTGGAACTAAACATAAAGGAGTGATAATATGGGACGAGACTGAGGAAGATAAATCATCAATACGCTGGAAGAGTGAAGGGCAAGAGGAGACATGATCGCAACATGCGAAATTTTCAAATACATTAACAAAGATGATAAAGACGAATGATTTAGACCTAGCTATACCATATAGATGTAAGGAAACAGTGGAGAGAGGAATGAGCTGGGAGGGAAAGTACCTAAGGCTGACTTTTGCTTACTGTAGGGCCAGGAGAAGGCACTAGAAATAGGAGGGCCGGGAGCTATTACAATACGTTACCTGGAACTGAAAACAATGGGCTCAAGAGCTGAAGCCCGGCCTGTAAACATATATTGTATATATATATATATATATATATATATATATATATATATATATATATATATATATATATATTTGCACCAGTCCAATGCAGTTCAGCATTGGGAGGCGGGATTCAGAAGCTAAAGCTCAACATTTTCAAGCACAACTAATGGAGCACACACCAGGCACACATATACACCTACACCCGGGATGTAACTGTCCTCTCACTTGATACGTCGCATTTCTAACGGATTCGACCACTCCGCGAAAATGGCCGAGATATATTCAAAAAGCCTGGTGCTAGATTCACGAAGCAGTTACGCAAGCACTTACGAACGTGTACATCTTTCCTCAATCTTTGACGGCTTTGGTTACATTTATTAAACAGTTTACAAGCATGAAAACTTCCCAATAAACTGTTGTTATTGTCATAAACAGCCTCCTGGTGCTTCGGAGCTCATTAACTGTTTAATAATTGTAAACAAAGCCGCCAAAGATTGAGAAAAGATGGACAGGTTCGTAAGTGCTTGTGTAACTGCTTCGTGAATCTGGCCCCCTGGACATCGAACCAGCGTTCCCTCATCAAACGCTCCAATAGGTTAGGCCGGGTGTCTCAGTCGCAACATTTCTGGTGAAGCCAAACCGCTGCTTTCTTTACGGAGTGTCAAATGGTGAGAACCGGCTACTTAGAAGCAAAGGTCAAGCATATTCCCAACGATGATGTTGAATTGTGTGTGTGTGTGTGTGTGTGTGTGTGTGTGTGTAACCTCCGGTCCCCCACACACACACACACACACACACACACACACACACACACACACACACACACACACACACACACACACAGGTCCCAGGGGCGGAGGTCCTCAGCCAGGATGCTTCATCTTAGCTCCCACGGTGTAGCTGGGTGCTGGGCTCAGCTCCCACGGTGGAGCTGGGTGCTGAGCTCAGCTCCTGCTCCGGTGCTCCGTCAGCAGGTCCTAGCGCTCACAGTCTGGGCCACGCTGGTGGTGGTGGTGCAATTGTTCTCTCTCAAGTGCTGCGTGGGGTGACTTCATTCATGTAGCTTTTGTCCTCCTGGCAGGTGTTCTGGTGTATTGTCCTTCTGACAGGTGTTCTGGTGTATTGTCCTTCTGACAGGTGTTCTGGTGTATTGTCCTTCTGACAGGTGTTCTGGTGTGTTGTCCTCCTGGCAGGTGTTCTGGTGTATTGTCCTTCTGACAGGTGTTCTGGTGTATTGTCCTTCTGACAGGTGTTCTGGTGTATTGTCCTTCTGACAGGTGTTCTGGTGTATTGTCCTTCTGACAGGTGTTCTGGTGTATTGTCCTCCTGGCAGGTGTTCTGGGTTGTTGTCCTCCTGGCAGGTGTTCTGGGTTGTTGTCCTCCTGGCAGGTGTTCTGGGTTGTTGTCCTCCTGGCAGGTGTTCTGGGTTGTTGTCCTCCTGGCAGGTGTTCTGGGTTGTTGTCCTCCTGGCAGGTGTTCTGGTGTGTTGTCCTCCTGGCAGGTGTTCTGGTGTGTTGTCCTCCTGACAGGTGTTCTGGTGTATTGTCCTTCTGACAGGTGTTCTGGTGTATTGTCCTTCTGACAGGTGTTCTGGTGTATTGTCCTTCTGACAGGTGTTCTGGTGTATTGTCCTCCTGGCAGGTGTTCTGGGTTGTTGTCCTCCTGGCAGGTGTTCTGGGTTGTTGTCCTCCTGGCAGGTGTTCTGGGTTGTTGTCCTCCTGACAGGTGTTCTGGTGTGTTGTCCTCCTGACAGGTGTCCTGGTTGTTGTCCTCCTGGCAGGTGTTCTGGGTTGTTGTCCTCCTGGCAGGTGTTCTGGTGTGTTGTCCTCCTGACAGGTGTTCTGGTGTATTGTCCTTCTGACAGGTGTTCTGGTGTATTGTCCTCCTGACAGGTGTCCTGGTTGTTGTCGTCCTGGCAGGTGTTCTGGGTTGTTGTCCTGGCAGGTGTTCTGGTGTGTTGTCCTCCTGGCAGGTGTTCTGGTGTATTGTCCTTCTGACAGGTGTTCTGGTGTGTTGTCCTCCTGACAGGTGTTCTGGTGTATTGTCCTTCTGACAGGTGTTCTGGTGTATTGTCCTCCTGGCAGGTGTTCTGGTGTCTTGTCCTCCTGACAGGTGTCATGGTTCTTGTCTATTTTCAAACCAGTATTTTCTAGGGTTTTTCTGAAACTAAACTTGTCAAATTTGCATACATATCTCGTTTTGAATTTTGTATTGACAGATGTAACACGTGTTGTGTTTTGTATTGACAGATGTAACACGTGTTGTGTTTTGTATTGACAGATGTAACACGTGTTCTGTTTTGTATTGACAGATGTAACACGTGTTTTGTGTTGATATATTTAGGACGTCGATAGGAAACCAGTGAAGAGCAGAGGTGCCATAGGCACAATCAGGGAACACTGTATAAACATCAGAGGTCCGCGGTTGTTCAACGTCCTCCCAGCAAGCATAAGAAATATTGCCGGAACAACCGTCGACATCTTCAAGAGGAAACTAGATTTATTCCTCCAAGGAGTGCCGGACCAACCGGACTGTGGTGGGTATGTGGGCCTGCGGGCCGCTCCAAGCAACAGCCTAGTGGACCAATCTCTCACAAGTCGAGCCTGGCCTCGGGCCGGGCTTGGGGAGTAGAAGAACTCCCAGAACCCCATCAACCAGGTATCAACCAGGACATGCTTATACTCTGGACACTTGTCAGTGGGGAAAATGGTTATACTCCA